CCTTGATAATATCATTTTCTAATAAACGCGTTTTTATTTCTTACCAAAATCGTTGAACTATCGGGAAGTGCCAAAGTCTATGCTAAATGGGCCCCCTAACATTACTGTAATTCACCCAATCACTGCTTCCTACAATTATCTTGTGACACAGAAGCCTGTGTTTGATACATGAGTTCTTGTTATCATCTTATGATGTAGCGCCCTGTATGATGAACTTAAAGGGAGTGTGTCTAACGTTTTTGGTTTTCTCAATAGGCGGCTGAGGAGAGTTTGGCAATTGTCTGTTTAATTTTGGCTGCTAAATGCACATTTGGGTCTTGAAACAGTTTTGGTTTGTTTATTTTTATCAATCCCATCGATGGCTGTGTATGAAGGAAAGCAATCATACAATATAAACCAATTAGCGGGCACGAAAGGACGGATGCGCTGGCTTATATGTGCCGAGGAACTGCGCGCTAGGGAGATGACCATTATTTTGGTTGCTAAGCAACGTAGAATACTCACATTCCCCAAGAGTCCGGTGCAGCCGATTGATGCAACACTATACTTATTTCTCATTTCAGTATATAGTAGGCCAGCTTGAATTGGTGCGCATTATCCGACCCGCCTTCCCTTACGTTTAGACCCGTACACTCGCAGCCCTCAGCAGAATATAAAAAATCATCGCATTATGGCCGCCGCCATCGCCACGCTCGCAAGCTGCTGTCAGCGCTGACTAGCGGCATCCTCGAAAGGCCATTCGCTAGAGCTAACGATACCTTCTCAATGATATCGATGTGTTTAGTACTGAATACTGCTTGGAGCCAACCCGATGACGTCGTTCTTCCATACAAACCGAAGACAATTTAGCGGCCGTAGCAATATCTCGTCAGTGGAGGCGGATTTGTAGACAAAAATGGCACAAAAATTTGTAAATCAAAAATCCCCACCATCCTACGTGCACGGTCAAAAATCCTAACTTGATTGGACACACTCCCATTAATGAAGCTTCAAACAGATTCTGGTAAGCATCAAATAACACCAAATTACAAAGCACCAGCAAATAACATCACCATGTCATTCTCTCCACTTGTTTTCCCATTTATGTCCATGCCCCTAAATTTGTAATTGGCAAGCATGATATATACATATTTTGCCCCATTTGAAGCGTGACAAAAAATTTCATGCCACGTAAAAATCTACAATTGGGCTGTTCAGTGCTGCGACAACAAGTGTATATATGTTGGTTTTGATATGTTTTTTATAACGGTTACTTTTCCGTACAGTGTCAAATACCTCTTCTCCCAAGTTTTGTTGACGAGCCGCATTTCACCAATCTTCGTACCAAGATGGTTAGAGCATACAATCTCATCGTTGCTTTAGAAAACCATCTTTAGCACCTTCATTCTCTCCAACCACTGCATTTTCAAATCACGGCATTTAGACCCCCTTCCTTTGCGTTATTTCCTACCCACATTGCTTGTATTCTATTGGTGTTCATATTCTATTCTATTCTATTGTATTCATATTTGTTGCCAGTTGCGATAATTTGGCGCAAACTCTAAGGTCGTCAAAAAGAGTCGTACAACTGTTCACTGAGGCGTCCAGAATGCAAAGGTATCATCGCAGTGGCCCGATAACTTGCACTCAAACTCTCTATTCTTACTCCTCTTATCTATATCATTAGGATTGCTCTGAATAAGCGACGCTAAGCATACCATCACCAGCAAAAATGAATAACAACTCAGTCACCTTGCTTGCACGGCCTTGACAGACGAATGGGCCGTGTAAGATGACCGTCGTGCAAAATTTTTGCTACCGAGCTCTCGTGCAGTATGCTAAACTAGTCGATGACTTCTGGTGAAAAAAGTAGCTCGTAATGGCCTTGACCAGCCTCTAACTAACGGAGTTGAACGCCTCCTCAATGTGCGGCCTCACAAACAATGCATTCTTCCAATTCTGCTTAAGGTATTGAACTAAATGTGACATAGATCTAGTATTTTTCCGATCGATCTGCCCTCAATGTAACCCGTGTAACATGTCTTAATCAGCTTAGAAACTACTTGCTTTAATCTGTTGGCCCCGTTGGCGTATCATTAATTGCATTCTGGTCATAATCAAGGGCCAAATGCCAATCCCCATCCAGCGTAACTGGAATGTTATTTTCCATCGGGTCCAAAAATTATTCACTAGGCTGGAAAAACTCCGTAACATCCAGATTCGGTGCATGTATACTGAAGACGATCATTTCCAAAGCCTGATTAATTCTTGAGCATGTGATAATGTAATTTCCTCCCCTGTTGTTGCAATTTAGCAACCCCTGCAATCATTGGGTTGCTAAATTAACCATCTAGCTTAGCTGTAAAAATTGGTGCTCCTCTAGCATTGTTCGTGAGCGGTGCCAGTCTCTGTTCTTTCAATACAGTGTAGGCACGGCCACGCGCATCCGCCCAGGTTCCCGCAGCGGGCCTCGCAAATGGCGCCGGCGGTGCGTGGCGGCGTCCAGCAGCACCTAGCACCGCACGCGCGCGGCGGCAGAAGCGCAGGCTGCCGCACGCCGACCATGCGTTATGCCCCGCAGTCCCAGGCACAGCGCAGACACCCTACGACACGCCGACTCTTGTTGCGGTCGGCGGGCGGCGGCCGTGGCGCCTCGCCGGCGGGGGGGGGGGGGGGGGGGCGCAGGTAAGCGGGGCCACCGCCGCCCCCATTCATCAGCCTCAGATCAACAACCATCGTAAATAGTGGGGCAAACCCGTCGAAATCCTCATACCATAACGCAAGCATGAATACACCGGCTCTTGTCGCAACCACTGGATTGACAATCTAATGATCTAATGCATCTTAAGGCAAAGCACATCGTTGCCACTGACCTGCAAAAAAAAAATACAACTACAAAAACAATATTCACCCATCTGCGAATTGTTTGACCAACTTTCCACCTCACCCATCTTCCTTCCAGATAACCATCTAGTTTCAACGTGGGTTTGACTGGGCTGCGCCGTGCAGTATGCAAGGAGACACGCCTGTTTAGCACCGTGATGATGCAGCATCTATGTAGCCACGCAGCTTACGCGGATTATCCCCTTGTTGGCCGCGTCGTGAGCCGTTGGACAGAGGCACACCATGCCGTCGAGGATCTAGGACATACAGAGCCTCCGGCGACTGCGTAGGGCCTCTGGACAGCGCGATGAGCCTCAAAATATCCCCAAGCACCACTCCCTTATTATGCCAACTGTCAAACTGAGGTTTATTCAGAAAGTAGCACACCGTCCAGCCTGACACTTGTTCTGCAACACATGCAAAGGACTCGTTACCTGGCAACCAACCATACTCAGCGTGCAGCCCTGGGAGCCAGCATAGGAGCATACAACATGAAGCAACGAGAGCGTCTACGACTGCATGCAGCAAGCAACCACCATGCAAGCCAGTGTAGCAAGAGACACCAAAAGCACATGCACAATCACCAGGGCATGCACATGCAGCATGTCACATTATTCAGGGAAGAATGACCTCTGTCTGTGCATGAGCTTCTCACTTTGGCTTGCGACGTTTCTTGGTTGTCTGGAAGTCTAAAGACGTCCAATTTTGTTATTTTGTGTCAGGAAACTGCGTCCGTTCAGCAGGCTATGAGTCTCTTCGGAGCCTGTGACCCCTCGGGGCAGAAGGGGAGGGGCATGGCCCGTGTCCCCTGGATCCACCACCGGCCCGAACAGCTCAACAGGTGGGCCCCCGACAACAGCGTAGGGCCCTCCATTCAAATAAGAAGTACCCATGACCCAGTGTGGAGACCCACCGAAAGTTTGACTGCACCCAAGCAGGTTATCAAATGCCCCAGATCGGAGCATAGGGCCCTCCATTAAGATAGTAAGTACCTAAAACCCAATGTGGGAGACCTCGAACGATCGAGTGTTCCCGAGAGGGTTGAAAAATGGGGCCCCATCAAAAGTGTAGGGCCCCAAAAGCAACGTCTACGGGCGGAGGGCTCACAGAGAGGTGGAGTTAGTGCTCCAAGCGCTCTCAGTTGCAGTTTCATACCACTGGACAAGCAGGGGAACTAACATATTTCACTTACGTTGGCGGGCGTTGCCCTCGGCCCTTCAGTTGCGCGCCCTCAACACTGCTGCTTAAAACAAAACCTCAACGCTCCCTGGTAAACATCTGTATTCAGATTTTGTCGCGTGTCCAGGGAGTTATTCATTCTTTCCAAGCTTCATGCACTGTGCGGAGTCAGACGATGACTAGAACATTTGGCAAGACCAAACACTCAACGTTAAAAATGACAGCAGTCTGCAAACAACACTCTGTGCACCCTCAGTCAACATTTGCCCTGACTCTACCAGGAGTTGATTGGGTGTCTTCTCAGTAAAAGCGCAGGCAGGCAAGAAGGCAAGAGGGCGCATTGCAAAAATAATTTCGCAATTAGCTTTGATGCGCCTCCTGCTGGATATTTATAAGGAAACTTTTTCCTGATCGCACTCATTAAGTAATTGTCCCTGCCCCAAAAGGCTTCCCATCTATTCGCTCAGAGCAAGGAGAAAACTGAACCCAAAAAGCATGATTTCTGTCGTAACACAACGCTAACGCTTAAATTGCCGTTCTGTTCTGCGTTGTCTTCCTCTCTATCATGTCCACTAAAACGCTGTAATGATGGAAATACCACTATGCAGTATGCAACTTCAGTTAGACCGCGTTTTGGCCTAAAATCGGTAACTCTACAGCACAACAGAGAAAATCGGGCAACAACGTTGCCAACGGAGTTAGGGAGTATGCTGTGACGTTCCGCCTACCAACTTCGAGATTAATTTCTTTGGGGGCAGGCCCAGTGCCATGAACGGGCCATTCATTCTCAAACACTGCGTGGCGATCCTTCCGGCCAACGTGTCGGCATTCGATCCGTACAGATTGTGACATGAATGCACCAGTTTTGCCCTCAAAACACAGAGTGCTTCACATGCCCCGTCCACGCTCAACACTGCCGTCGATGCCTCCATAACCCTCAGGCGTAAAGCGTTTGGTCATCGCAGTTGCACGTTGAGCGCGTTCGTACGGTCCGACTCGATCATGGCGCCAGCAAAACACGCTGACGCCGGGTGATACGCGCAGCTGTAGTTCGAGTTCAATCAACAGATGGCACCACCCGGCCGAGTTCTGAATGTCACCACTAGATGTCACCCTACATAATGCTGCACGCCGCACCGCCACACAGGGGGAGACAAATGGGGATCGTCTTGCCTCCCTTGTCTTCCTTCTGCTTGGAGCCTCCATGTGCTTTGTACTTGCCCTTTGCCTTGAATCCCGTCTTGGTGTTGCCGTTCTTGTGCGATTCTTTAGTCTTGAACTGAAAGGCATCGTGACGGTAAAAGCCGCACCAGTGAAAGTTGGTACACGACTGGGAATGAGGTATCATCCACTGCCCTGTCCTCTCCTTACCCGGCATCGCTGTATTCTAGTCGTGAGCATGTGCTGACTGTCAGCCCTGAGTTGACCTCACGGCTACCCCCGCTTAGATTTACTCCTGAACACTCGCAGGGGCCTCGTCGAATGGCCTCTAGGTGGAGTGGGAGTCGGTGCCACACCTCCTACCTCTGTGCTTAAAGTAGACAATAGTGTTTGCATAGTGTTCTGACGTGGAAACCATGAGTGGAATGCCTCCAATGAGGAACTTTTTGCACGCAAATTCCCCATACTTAGCAACGGTGCAACTAGTAGCCAAGCTCCAAGCCAAGGCTGGCGTCTCTTTGCCTGAAACACGTTAGTGCTACCCAAAATGTATCCCTGTAGCCCTATTCACGTAGCCCTATAATGGTCATTGACGGACGAAAAGAGTTCAGCACAGCCAGAAGCAGAAATGTCAAATGGCGGAGCGGGGCCCTCTCCCCCTCACCGGTCTTATACCCATATCCGCTTCGCTGCAGACACACTTTACTACATACATCCAGGGTAGAGGAGAGCTTTGAACTAACCCTGTCCTTGTCTCGCTGAACGTCATGCCGGTACAAAAGCACAGTCAGCGCATTTGTGCATGTATGCATGACCCCATTACGCGGTTGGGTACAATGGGACGAGTCTCGGGTCAGCAGGCAAAACGGGCTGGGCACAGCACACTCTTCCAACTCTGATTAAGTCCGTCTCGTCGCATTCCAATGCCATCACGGGGAGGCTTTGCCCAGCTTCTCCGCGAAGACCTAGAAAAAGCGGACAGTTGAGCGCACTCCGTTGGCTAGTGAGACGCGGCAGTTTTAAAACAGGCATGCCCCCATGGCGACGGTGACTGGCGTTTCCGAGCGCTGCCGCTGCTCGGTCGGAGCTCTCCGTAGTGGAGGTACCTTGGTCTCGCAGTCGGCGTCGTCCGGCGGGTAGTACACGCCGGGCGTAGCGCGCTGCTGCTGGTCCTGCGAGTGCGCCACCTGGGGCCGCTCCGCGTCCGGCCCGCTGCCGGCCGGCTCGGTGACCTGAACTGACCTCGAGCTGACGTCACGGCGCCGCGGGCCGTCCGCGTACGTGCCGTCCTGGAGCGCCAGGGGAGGGGGTCGTCCGTCAGACATAGTGCCGACCTGGCAACTGTTGCGGTCGGGGGAGTCAGCTCTGCTGCAGGAGAGCAGCGCTGCTATGTCTGTCATGTCAACCGCAGCAGGGTGCCACTAACTGAGGCCTATGGTCTGGGCAGTCAGCTCTGCTGCAGGAGAGCAGCGCTGCTGTATCGGTCATGACGACCACAGCGGGGCATCACTCACTGAAAGCAGGCGCGATGTTCAATTTGCGTGACTCAAGTGCAACTTCTGAAAAAGTGGAGCTGGTGCAGCTTGTGTGTTTAAACGTAGGTGATGAACTCTGGTAGCTGACGCACAACTTAATGCATGTACGGCTTGTGTAATTGATATGCTGAATCAGTTTGGACGAGACGCCCTGTCGAGTTTACACAGTTTCAGGTTAGTTTTAGTTAAGGCAGCAGGAGGCTCACAACATCAGGCTCGATGTGACTCAGAGCACCGTAGACAAAATACAAGCACGTCTCGCAAACATTTGTACAGGCGCTAGGCGTAGTTGGGTTGCACGCGTCTGTTTATTTAGGATCCAGCGTTAATCGATTATGCTTTTAACCACCAGTCCTACGAAAATCAATAAAACCTCTACCACTTGGTGAGCACGCGACCGAAATATCCCACTTTTAGTGCCGCATAAGTCAGTTCCAAAGAAAACGGCAACAGAATCCCTTCCCCGGCTCCTAGCCCCACCTGCGGTCCGGACGGCACCAGCGGCCTCGGCGCTCCGTCTTCCCTGGTCGTCTCGGCGCCGGCGCCGTCGTACCCGGAGCAGGGTGCGCTCCATCTCCGTGGTGACGGTGCGAGTGTGGTACCGCTCCGCCTGCGGACCCGGGTAGGGCGTGTCGTACGGCGAGGGCGGCCGGCCCAGCGGTGCCGGCGCCGCCTGCGAGCGCGTCTCGTGTCGCTCGACGCAGCTCTCGGTCCCAGCAGGCGGCCAGGGCCGACTGGCGGGGCCCGTCGAGCTCTGCTGGCGCATCTCGTACCGCTGCAGGCTGCTGACGGTGCTCTCCGGGCCGGCCGGCGGCCAGGGCTGGCTGAGAGGTCCCGGCGGGCTCTGCTGGCGGGTCTCGTACCGCTCCAGGGTGCTGACGCCCGAGTCGGGGGCGGTCGGCGGGCCGTCCGGGCCGCCGGCGCCATAGTTGTAGATGTGGTAGTTGATGGTGGTGTTGGTGCCGGGCTGCTGCGGCGGCGGCGCCGGCACCCGGTCCAGCGAGGACGCCGCGCTGGAGCGCTCCGTCACCGTCATGTGCGTGAGCTCAGGCTCCCGCGGCGTCGGCCGCGGCTTGGGCGGCACCGCCGGCGGCGTCTTCACCGCCGGCGGCGCCTGCACCGCCGGCCACGGCTTGGACAGGACGTCGCGGATGTCGCGAGGCGTGAGGTCGGGATGGGGCGCTGCCGGCGCCGGCTGCGGGCTGACGGAGCGCTGCTGGGAGCTGCGGTACTGGTACTTGGTGACGCGCATGTGCCCGGCCGGCGCCGGCTGACTGATGTCCGGCACCAGCAGCGACGGCTCGTCCGGCAGCCCCGGCGACCGACTGTGGCGACAGGGCAGGGAGGTGAGGGTCAGTGCGGTCGCCACCCCAACCACGTCGAGAGAGAGGGAGGAAGATGCCACACATCAGACTGCAGATAAGTCTCGCCGCTATTGGGCAGGGTAGCCTTTGGAGAAACGGGATGTGTGCCATGTCCGCATGGCCAAATGGTACGCAAGCAAACGCTGGCCTAGCTGAGTATCGATATCCACATTCCAACGGTCCACATTGCATATCATAAGAACGTTCTCAAAGCATGCCATCGGCACATTGTGGCATATTTGCTGCATGCTGTTCAGTCAGCTGTCGCTGCGGCGTCCCCGCCGCGTGCGTGGTATCGTTGGCGACGTGTCGCGTGCGCGGTATGCTCACCCCTTGGAATGGGGCCGCGGAGCTGCATCTGGAAACAGGCCGGGCAACAAGTGAGCTCCAGACTCGCACGATGTGCTTGATGTACGCCTGATGATGTGATATCTCTGATTGAATCGCACAGCCGATGCAGCCTTGGGAGGGCCAGACAATCGCATGGTCGATGCAGCCTTGACAGGGCCAGACAATCGCGTAAAGGACACTAAGGTAGTGAACTATGGGTCCTCCGATTTGGCTGGCGAGGAAACAAATTACAGTGTTCATTTTCACGCTACATGTTCAATGATGGAAGTGCCCAGCAGAACTGCTCCCATCTCTTGACTTACTTGAGGCTGTCGTATTGTTTGAAACGTCGATTTGATCAAGCAGGCTATCCATGTCCACGCCATTTTCCTTCGTTGGCGTCGTATCAAATGCTGGGGCTGGAATATCGCGAATGTGCCGTTACAAATTTAAAGCGTATTTAACGTCGTTAACAATTCAGAACTCTGGCCAAAGATCGTCATTTTCCCTTTCAATGATCCGTGAACTAAAGTACGGATCAAATCTTTAAACTAAACCCTACAGAGGTAAAAGTGTCATAAGGCCTCCTCGCTATGTGCGCGCACCACTGACTCCCTGGTTAACGACCAGAGGAAACGATGTTTTCGTGCGGTGCAAACAGCCGATACCTTGCGTTCACAACTATCAAACATTGCAACCGCTGGCAGCACAAGCTACCACGCAGGTCAAATACCTTAATCAAGGACACTCTGTTGTTTACTGCTCACCTGGGGGGAGGACCGCCAGTTGGCCGGTGCTGCTAGAGTGAGAAGACTTGTACATCTGTCTGGCGACCATCTGTCTCTGGAAAGAGGTCAGCACAGGTCAGGCTCCGCCGGCCCACCCGAACCTAGCTTACAGTGGAGGTCAACACGACGCAGGAGCATTGGGGCAGCCAGGGCTAATGAGCCGTCATGACGCATAGTGTGAACCCGGCCAGGTGATCATGCTGCACCTGCTGTAAACCCGTCATCATCGGCGCTTTTGGTTCCAACACGATGTACGACAAGTGCCCCGCCAGCACATCGCTACCACCCAAGGCGCTACTACGCGTTATATGACCTCACTGCCATCAGTGCTAAATCCACCACGTGCTCATCAACATTGACATTACGGACGTGCAACAACACCTGGGCGGCCGGCGGCGGTGAGCCGACACGCCGCCAGCGTCGAGTTCGACGCCTGGTTCCGTCGGAGTCGACGGCAAACTCACGCCGTCGCCAGCGCGCGCCGTGCGCTGGCTGCGCTCCTCCACCGTACGCGTGCGCTGATCGGGGCTGGTGTACTCGCAGCGCTCGTGAAAGTCCTCCGAGCCTGGCAGCGCGCCGCCCTGGACGGGGGCGCCGCCGCGGGCCGGCGGGCCGCCGCCCTGCCCCGGCCCCGTGCTCTCGTTCAGGTCCGACAGCAGTGTGTCTGCAACGGCAGACCGGCCGGATCGTGCTACTTATGCGACTGCAGGGACTGGTGGGTGCTGCGTGTGTGGCTGTTGCGAACAGATTTCCAGATATTACTCAGCAAGCAGTTTTGGTTCGATCTCACTCGAGGTATCCCTATCGGCTTCCGACCTTTCCAGTTGAGAAATGCTTGGGAAAGCTCCAGAAGTTTGTCAAGATATTGGCAAAGGGATCGCCAACCTATTCCAGACTGTTTCCTTTTTATTTTCGGAAGGCCGGGTCGGGTGTTCGAGCGTCGGGTCCTCAACCGGGGTGTCCGGTGAGCTCACCAAGCGGCCTATGGCGACTCCACCCTGAAACATGTCTGATCCCAATGGTGCTCTGATCTGATCTGATCTGATCCCAAAGCCTTTCCCCCAAATGTCCGTCAGGGAATTCCAAGCGCTCCCAGAACTGCCTATGGCGATTGCGCACTGAAGAATGGCCTCATCAGGCAAATCCCAAATACGATGGTCAAGGAAGAAAATTTAAGAAAACCTAAAATTTCTCCAAGTGATAGCCGATGGCAGGAGCTCAATCGAAAAACCTTGGAAAATCCACAATAATTTTTAGTCCAGTTTGCAAAGCTTGGGTTTTCCCAAATTTTCCCAACATTCCCTTATATTCCCAAACAAATTGTTTCATGGGCAAAGATATGGAAACGCTCCATGAACCATGTGTGAGCCAAAGCAAAGTTTTCAGTCAGTTATTTTCATGCACAGTTTTCAGAAACGAATAGTTCATTTTTACATGTGTCACAGCAGATCTAACCTTTTATCACATGCTTTCACCGCTGCTTTTGCATAACACAACACCACCGTCTGCAGTCGTAGATGCAGAAGCATGCTGTCACCGAAAACTTTTAAAAATCGCTAAGCCTGATAAGCACCGCCTCGCGCACAGATTATCCCTGCGGCCGTTGGCTTCTTACAGGCGCGTGCCGCGGCCATGACCACCGGTCCCCACCCGCGCGCCCGGTGTGCAGGTCACGGCAGGCCACCGCGCGCCCGGTGGCCTGCCGTGACCTGCCACCTCCGCCACCGGCTTACCGAGCTGCTGATCCCAGTTTTCCGGCCTGCCGGGCCGGCCGGTGACACTTCTCTCCTGATGCCGGTACTGGGAGCTGGTGGTCGACGCCATCCTGTTCGCTCGCCCCGCCTGCGAGACAGAGGGCGTGCGGTGATGCAGGGCGCGGCGGACTCTGCCGGCAGGCGCTCCCTCAACGGCGGGACGTGCGGTGATGCAGGGCGCGGCGGGCTCTGTCGGCAGGCGCTCCCTCAACGGCGGGACGTGCGGTGATGCGGGGCGCGGCGGGCTCTGTCGGCAGGCGCTCCCTCAACGGCGACGGCTGATGGGATCAATCGGATCGGATTCAGAACTTGGAAAACGGCAGGCTGAATGGCAGCATGAATTTGAACGTGCTGGATCAGATGGATTAAGGTCGGGGAAGCTCAGCCCGAGACCAGCTCAGCAGCCCAGATGGCTTCTCCTAGTCTTTTTAAGGCGTCCGCCAGCCAGTCCGCTGTGAGTTAAGGCGTCCGCCTGCCAGTTCGCTGCGAGTTAAGCCAGCTAGAGATGGAGGATCCTGGTTATCAGCTTGGTTACTCCACACCGGCTTCTCCAAAACGGCATCCAAAACTAGTCCGCCATTTCCATTCATTGACGACATTGACCGGGGCCATTCGACCCGGACATTGGAAAGCTGCACCTAGATTAGGTACCCCCGGCCCCCTGCAATGGCTGTCGCGACTGGGATCACCTGTCTGCGCCCGATGTGCCCCCTGTAATGCATGTTATGGCTGGGATCGCCTGCCTGTGCCCAATGTGCCCCCTGTAATGGATGCCTCGGCTGGGATCGCCTGCCT